TTTGAAGAACTAAATATGATGAAAAACTAAAAAATATATAAAAATAAATAAATATTGTTGGGCCTGTATAAATATAAGAACTCAACCTAAATAAGCCTATAGCCCCTATAGTAGTGGGCCCAGTCTAATTTCATTTGGGCCTGACTATAATACCAACCTCTATATATACATTTAATTATATTTTAAAAACTATTATAAACAAATTAAAATTAAAGATAGTAATAGGTTCGGGTATGCCCAAATTTTGACGTGGATCCAACTCATTTAATTGGGTCAACACTAATATGATTTGGATTCAAGGCTAATGCTGGACCCATATAATAATAAATAAATAATATCAATAAAAATATATGTTGGCCCTGAAAAACAAATTTAAAAAAATCAATACAGAAAAATCCCGCAACACAGACTGGTTGTTCATTAGAGACGATCGAACTGCGAGTGAACGACGAAGAACAATAAAAACAACACAAAATGATAACCCAGTTCGACTGCACCAACCTACATTTGGGGGTTCAAACCCAGGCGAAACTCACTGTTAAAACCTGAAGCACAGGATGTGTGAATACAATCGAGCTATACAGTCAAAAAAATCTACTTTTATGATTTCCCCTACTCAACCTATCTCATACACCCCTCACCCTCAGTGTTTTATTTTTTCTTACTCAATTCTTTCTATATCTTCCAAAATCTATTTTTCTCTACTCTATATTTTATATAGAAGCTTTATATTCAAATATAAGAATATTTACCCTAACAAATTCAACAAGAATGGAATCTATTATTCCACTATCTCTCCCTACATCTACAAAGTTTGTTACAACCAATATTTGTTATCCCCACGCATGGATTGAGGGATCAACGAACTTTCTCCATCAATTTGTTTGGATTTTCATTGAATTGATCAATTTGAGTCAATTTTTTTTTTTTTTTGATTAGGTTCAAGACAAATTGAGTCGCATATGTCCATCATTGTTCGTCCGTTGTTCGGACCATCTGCAAACAACATCAACCAAAATCCAAAAAGCAAATACAATCTACTTTCAACAATATATATATTCTATAAACATAATTATTTAAAAAAAATGCTTTTTTTAAATATAATTTGTTTACCTGTGATGATCGGGTGTGTTTACTTGTGAGATTTATTTTTTCGTTTTACTAAAACATCGAATCAAACACAATACATATTTATATCACATCAAACAACTATTTCAATTCAAAACTTTATTATTCAAAACCAAAATCTCACAAGTAAACACACCATTGAAAAAAAAAAAACTTTAGGTTATAAGACCTTACCGAATAGGGTCCGATCCGACTATAATCAGATCCAATGGCATCACACAAAAATATTGATGTGCTGAAAACAAAAATATATATAGATATATTATTAATAATTTTCAATACGTACAAATTCTATTAATTATTTTTTTCTTATAAGATATTAACAAGAACCATTAAAATATATTATTATAACACTTCGTAATTTCCCATAGCTAACAATAGAAACTCTAAAATTTCTAGTCACTAAAAGAACATATTTTATACATTACAATATGATTTACTTATATGTAGATATCGTATAGATTTTATTTTATTTATTTTTGCACGGCTAAAGGAAACATTGGCATACCAAATTTTTTAATAAATTCAATATTTATTGATATGATAATTCTATCGATTTTTTTTATATATATTTTATTAATCTATAATTATAATTATACACAGCTAATTAGTATTATACTTTAATGCAGAAAAATTAATATATTAATTTCTTAGAAACCTCAAAAGTAACTTACCATTGCAGTAAAATATAGGAGTATTAAATTAATTGCATGCATTAATTTAAATTTAATGCCCAAATTTTAAAATCCCACTATGTATTTGTGACATATATCAATAATAATAATAATAATAATAATAATAATAATATAAAAAAATAAAATAAAATTGATTTATAAATTATATTTATTCAACATAAAAATTTCTGATATTAGTTGGAATTAAATGTAATATTTAATATGCCTAATAATTTGGCATTTATGTCTCTACGTAAACTGTTAGACATATATATTGATAAATTAATATTTAAGAATAAGTTAAATGTCAATTTGTACTGTTATTATTTTATTTTATTTTATATTTGGTCAAATTGAAGCTACATTTATTTATGGTAATAAATTAAAGGCAATTTTAGGACCCATATTTCCATCATTTAGTCAACAAAAATTTTAATGTGAGGTTTACTAATTACCATAATTTTATGTTTTTAATTTAATTTGAATCGAAATAAACAATTACACATATCTTGTATTGATTTTGGCAAAAACATCAAATCAAACATTCAATTCTTATTTATTTTATTTCACTAAAATTTAATTTTACATTCAAAATATCACGTCAATATATATTTATATCATATTAAACAACTATTTCAATTCAAAATTTTGTATAGTATTTTATTACTATTCAATGTATCATTTTCTTGTAAAAGATTTATGGTTGTGTTTGCTTTGACTTTGTTCAATTAGCAACAACAAAAAGAATAAATAAATAAAATACATATAACTTTTAAGAAAAAAAAATTGTTATTATTATTATTTCTATAAAATATCACATTAAAGTGTTATTATACAAATTAAATTTTAAAATCAGCTTTTGATAGGCATAATATTATAAGGCCCATGACTCATCATGTTTAGGAATTCATTAAAATCCATCTAATATTAAATGCAATTAATCCATGTTACCTTCAATTGCACCTCCAAGAAAGATTTATTTTTATTTTTAAATTCAAAGTCAAATTTAGTTTTCAATTTCAATAATACAATAATACTTAATAGGTCTCATATATTTTGCTATTATCTTCATATTGAGTATTGAGATGTCTTAGAGGTTTGTTTATTTTGAACTTTAATTTTTAATTTAAATTGATTTAGATAGTTTAATTGAATATTTTATAAAATAAATAATGTCATACTTATAGAGAATCATGCAAATTAAATAATAATACTCCCTCCGTCTCATAACAAAGTATCTATTTTTTTATTTTAGTCTGTTTCATAACAAAGTATTCATTTTCTTTTTTAGTAACGGCACTATCTACCTAACATTACAAATACCCTTACAACTTACAATATATTACACAAATGTTATTACATTTATATCATACCATATTAATAAGGTTATTTTAGTCATTTCTACTTTATTCTTACTACATCTCAATATAATACTAATATTTCTAAAATTACGTGCAAAAAACAAATATATATCTAGCTATGTATGAGACGAAATGAGTATTTATTTTGATTATGAGCCCAAACCAAAGAAACCCTATTAATTAAATAATACTTTTGAAAATTTTCATTATTAATATACAAGTTTTTTTTTTAAAAAAAAAAAAAAACCCTGTTAAGTATAATTTATAAATTCATTACAAACAAGATGTAGAGCTAAAATAGTCAAATAAAATATTAAAATTATATCGTTTAAAATATTATCGAAAAAAAAAGTGGCAATAAAAAATTATAGCAAATACTATTAACAAGGGGGGAAATAATTAAAATATAGTCGATTATAATTCCATTGTAAATTTATTTAATTGTTTTGAGCCTTAATTATTACATCTTTTCAATCAAAAACCAAAATCAAACACAGATAAACAAAATAAAAAAATTAACTTAGATGTAAATACCTATGTTTAAATTTTGAATCCCAGATTTATTTATTTTCCTTGTCATTAATATTGTCAAAATCATATATATATAGACAAATACACATATTAATTTAATACATACGTACATAAATATACATTTCTAAACTTTCAAACTTAACAAATATATATAGATAAATCGATACATATTCTCAATAATTAATAAATATTGAATTTTATATAGAAACTATTAATTTTAATTAAATAACTTCCCATATTTAAAGTAGAGTTATAACTATATTCTCCAATATTTGGTAAAAATATCTACATAGAAAAATTACCATAATTATTTTTTAAGAAAAGATTTTAATAAGATGAATAATAATTACATACTATAATATATTTTTTAATTTTTTAAAAAAGGTAATTATAAAAACAAAACTAATTGTAATTCCATTTTTATAGCAAAAAATTCAAATTATATAGAATTGGTTTTTATATATATATATATAGAATGTATAAATCTACGATATCTTTATTAGTAAAAGAAAAACAAAATATTTAAAATTATCATTATATATTAATCAAAATTAAATATATGCATTTGTAATCTCACAATTTGTATAAAATATTAATAAAATATTTATTTTTTCTATTCATTTTTGTTATTATTATTATTATTATTATTATTATTATTATTATTATTACTATTAACTTTTTACTATGTAAATGAATTTTTGCAAATATATACTATTTCATATAAAACATTACAATAAATCATTTTTTATTTTAAAAATAAAGAAAACAAAATTCTAAAAAAAAACACACACACACACCTAAAATTATTCTTATTATTAGTGACTACAATTCAATAATAATTATGACACCAACTACTCCCATTCATGTTTTAGTATTAATGGTACACGCATATAAATAAATAAAAATTTCCAAAAAATCACTCCACCCAAAATCTGAATAATAAAAAAAAAGAGTGGTGAGCCAAACATGGCCTAACGGCGTCAACTGAAGGCGGGTGGAAATTAATAGAGGCAATAAATGACAATTAATGCATCCAAAGCACAAATTTTCAAAAATTTAAAAAGCAGTCATTACCGGCATTAATTAATGTCATCCATCTATTAATGGGAAACAAACACCCCCCCTACTGCATTTATTACACCCCCTCCAGGCCTCCCCAGACCCCACCCCCGGGGGGGCTTACCCCGACCCACCCCCTGGTAAAAAAATTATCCATTAGGAATCATCATGATTACATTTAATTCTTCAAAATCGCTGCTTTAAAGTCGTGTTATTAAATACACACGCTTTTGTATATATATAAGATTGCCTTCTACGTTTCCTCAGTTGTGTTTTATTTTTATTATTATTATGGCTACCGAAGTTAGCAGTTCTCTGATGAGAGCGATCGACGGCGGAGATTCTCCGGCTGGGATATCGACGGCTCCTATTACGAGGGACTTCCTCGGCGGTGTTGACGGCAAGGAGCTTGAAGGCCTGGACCTGCAAGTTCCGTCTGGATGGGAAAAGCGCCTGGACTTGAAGGTCCGATCGTCTTCTACTTGATTCTTTCGTCCTTCGATTGCGAATTTGGCCTGATTTGATTTTTTTTATTATTATTTTTAAAAATTAGTTTTTGGAATTTTGCAGTCGGGAAAAATTTATCTACAGAGGAGTAGTTCATCGATGCCGAAATCTGCATCGGACGGTCAGAATTATCGGGACCTGTGGTCCACGCCAAAGCAGGGGAAGCAGACGCTTGACCTTCTCGACCTCGATTCCGGCCTGGAATTGAAGCTCCTGCCGGCGTCGCCGTCGCCGTCGCCGTCGTACCAGAGTGTCTGCACTCTGGATAAAGTGAAATCGGCGCTGGAGAGGGCGGAGAAGGCGAGCGCCGCCGCAAGGAAGCGATCGGTGTCGTCGTCGTCAACTTCATCGTCGTCGGTAAGGGACGCCGCCGGCGCCGACGCCGATCGGGAGGAGCGGTCGCCGGAGGCGTCGTTTGCCGCCGCCGCTTGCTCCGGCTGCCTGATGTACGTGCTCGTCTCGCCGGGGAATCCGACGTGTCCACGCTGCGGCTGCCGCGTGCCGTTGCCGGCGGCCGCCGCCGCGGCGAAGCGGCCGAGGATTGATCTGAATTTGTCTGTTTGACTGAAATTCGATTTATTTTTCAGTTTTTTTTGTAAAGATTGGTGAAATATAGGAATTAAAGTTCAAAGAGATTTGGTATATAATATTTTGTTTTTTGCCGTTTTAAATAAATAAATATATACGTTGAATTTTATAGTAAAATAAAATAACATTTGTAACACCGAAATAATAAACATAATTAAATTAAATTTAAATGGGACATGAAACTCGTATCGGCAATATTTTTATATTTATTTTTGTATTGAATGTGATTTAGTATGTGAATAAATTATTTTTCAATCTAGTAACGGTTAGATATAAGGGCAAAAATGTCCTGTGCTTCCGTTTTATATTTTAATAGTATTTTTATATGATATTTTATATTTTATATTAAAATAAAAAATATTTGACATAGATTAATTGACTTACCTACAAAATTAAATAGAATTTTATTAATCAATAGTATCCAATTTTATTATGAATTTTTTTATAAGAAATATATATTATTTAATAATTACAGAAAATAAGATTGAAAATAACGAGTCAAGTGGTTCATTTAACACCTAACAAACAATAAATGTGAAATATTTATTTCTTTCAATAATATATGTGTATTCACAACTACTTCAGTTACAGATTTTAATTTGATTTAATTTAATTTATTTTATTTTTGTTTAGTTACGTACGCAATTGAATTTAATGCAAATTCATTGGAATATGCTAAGATATGTAAGGCAGTAATTTTGTTGCATTCTAATTTATTGTGGCTATTAAATTGCAGAGACAAAAAAAAAAAACAAAAAAAAAAAAAAAAATTACAAACCCACAAGTTATTGAGTTGTTTGTGTATTTATTTATTTTTATTATTCAATTAAGTCTTTTAAAATATTTATTTAATTTAAATATTTATTTAAAAATATTTTTATAAAAATTCTTTTCCGTATTTTTTTACTGTGTAAATTAAAATTTTTAATATTTTTTTTTCTTTAAGACATTAAACATATTTACTACTCCATGTTAAAAATAAAATTCAAAATTTGTAAAATACAAAAAGAATTATAGATTCATTTGATATTTCTATTTTATTTTTATGATTAGCTAAATTATCGATTCGTTAATGCCTAATCAATGTGTATGAAATAATGGCGTACTTGTATCACTATGGTATTTATAATATTGTATCTAATAAATTTCATACTAAGGATTGACAATTATATAATTTATTATATCAATTTTATAATTCAATATTACAAAAAAATTATCAAAATTATTTCATTTAATAAATGGTATTCTTACACGGTGATATTATGGGAAAATCTACCTATTTCTCTTAAAAACACATATATAACATTTGAACATATAATATTACAGTCACAGTTATATCTTTGCATCACTGGATTATCCATTACAAGATAACAATGTTTTTTTCATATATATATATAATAGTATAAGATAAAATAAAATTACAATCCAACCCCATACTACCTATGAATTTTACAATAATTTGAATTCTTTCAGCCTACATCATTTAAATGTAATTAAATAATAATAATGGTAATTTATGACATTTCACAAAATATTATCAATTTAATTAAACTTTAATGTATATAAATGCATAAAAAGCCTAAGTCTTAAATTTTAATGAAGTTCTATATAAAGCTAGCGGGAAAATTTTTAGACATAATAATAATAATAATAATAATAATAATAATAATAATAATAATAAAATTAGTTAGCATATATACGCAAACAAAATATAAATTATCAACCCAACCCATGATATTTATTACTCCCTCCGTCTCAGATACCGTGTATCTGCTACACTGCAGACACGATATTTTAGGAGGGGTGTAATTAGTAGATAATTAAGAATGTATTAGTGAAAATAATTATCCTATAATATAAATAATTATAAATTAAGATTAAGATAACTAATTAGTTTAATTAAAATTAAAAAATTTAAAATTAGATTAAAGTGTGTAATCATTTTCCAAAAAAGGAAAATGACATGTGAACATGGTATTTGGGACGGAGGGTGTATTACTTAGCATCTATTTTATATGCATATTTTGTTTAGAAAAAAAAAAATTTATACTAAAATCAACAGTAACACATATTCGTATGAACTATTTTTATATATTGTAAAATTATACATTTTTTTCGGTTGCAACTAAAATTATAATTTTTATTATTTTCATTTGTTTTCGATTATAGTAAAAATACAAAAATATCATTTAAATTTTATATAAATTATAGACATATAATTACACATACAATTAATTTATATAAAAAAAAATAAAAATAAAATATATGTTACAAAAATTCGAAATACTACTTTAAATTGGGACACATAGTATGATATTTATATGACATTAATATGTATATTATATTGTTCAATGGATTTTATTTGATTCACAGGCTAATTATTGAATGGCGAATGCTTATTTACTTTATATGAATTGCAATAACTGCATTGTAAACAAATAAAATATATAAATAAATAATCATAGAGAATAAATAAAATATTCTTATGTAGTGATATCCCAATAAATATTTAAACAGCACGTATATTTATTTCAACATTATTATTATTATTATTATTATTATTATTATATAGTACTTTGTTATATATATATATATTTATATACATATTTTTTGTTGGGTTAAATTATAATAAAGTATTTCGTATAATGAGAAATTAATAAATTAATCAATACTTATTAATTAAAATATATAATATTTGGAAACCATTATTTTCAGTCATTAATTAATGTTATTGTGACGTTTCCTCGGCTGTTAGGAAAAAGTCGTCATTTGGTTCCTCCACGTTTTTAATTTTAATTATTATTATTATTATTATTATTTTGTACGTTAATTCTGTTCAACTAATTTTGATTTCCTGAAAAGCCACAAAAAAAAAAATTATGAATGGCGTGTCAAATATGGTTACCTAATTTGGCGAGTTTTTTTTTTTTTTTTTTTTTTTGTTTATGAAAAAATATTATGGTCAAATATTATAAAATTACCAAATTGCCCTTGTATATTGGAACTTATTATGATGAGAGATGATAAATCATAAATATGTGTATTTACACATTTAGATATACTCTTGATGCGGTAAAAATAAAAAGTGAATGTAATATTTCAAAAAGATAACATTTTTTTAAAAAAAATAATAATAATTAAAGTACTATTTACTATAAGATATTTTTTACTATCATTTTATTATAATTTTTTTATGATTTTTAAAATAAGTTGAAATATATACGTGAATAAATATGGATTGTTTGAGGAGGATAGTTGTTTGCTTTTTCAATTTTTTACAGAAACAAAATATTTTTATTGAAAAAAAAAAAAAAAAAAAAACGCCAGTAATTTTTTAAAATGTCCATATTATTGCCTGGTTACAAATATATTTATGGGCATTATTATATATTAGTAGTAGTATATGTAACCGTTTACTTTGGTGATTTTTTTTTTATTTAAATGTAATATTTTATAAAATAAATATTTAATTTGTTTTGCTATTATTTTGAAGATCTAAAATTTTTGCTTTTTTTTTTTAATAAAAAAAATTACACCTTTTTTTTTTACATAAGTCTTTAACCATCTCAAGAAAAAATAAATATATACTCCCTCCGTCTGCGAACTAATGTCATACTTTTTTATTTGGGACGTCCAAGAAATAATGTTCTATTTTCTCTTTTAAATACAAATTTTACATTTTTATCCTCTATTCATTTATTACTTTTAATATCTACTATACAATTAAGGGTAAATTTGTCAATTTATAACAAAAAGACAATTACCTAAAAAAATTGTGCAAATATACTTTAGGACAATAGAAATTGGACGAAGGGAATATATATTTATAAAAATGTCCCAAAAGTAATCAAGAAAAAAATATAATAAAGGTCATGTATTTTTACAAAGAATCACACATATTGGGTGTGTTCAATTTGTATTTTTTGGGTGTATATTTTTTATTTTATTTATAAATAATTGTGTCAGTAATATAAAAAATTATATTTTGTGTTGATTTATTGTATTTTTATGAATGAATAAAATATATGTACATATTTATTTTTATATTAATATACATATATTTGTATTTTTCTTATTTTAGATAGAGCGAAGGAGAACCTTAAAAAAATAGTAATTAGAAGAGATGTAGTCATTTCTTGATGCATTAAAATAAACAATAAATGCGAAAAAGAGGAAAAAGAAAAGAGTTGGCTGGCCAATAAATAAATGATTGAAAAGAGTGTCCACCTAAATTATTTATAAGGATTATTAATTTTTATCGCATTTACTCATCATATTCATTATTTACCTAACTTGAATTTAATTCAATTATTATTGTCACAACCTAACACTTTAAATTCCAGATGAAATAAATTCAATTCTTATTATTATTTTTTGTAACATATATCCATATTGATAATAAAATTATTGCAACTAGTATATAATAATAATAATAATAATAATAATGCAGCTACTATATAAATAATAGTGATTATTATTGCTATTAATAAAATAACGTTTTTCTCTTTTTAACATTTCAACTTGAGCTTTTGTTTAAATTTTACTTTGATTCAATATTTTATGACCAGAAAAAAAAAAAAGAAAAAGTGAAATCACCTTAAAAATTTTAATGGTACTTATTATGATTTGTGAAAAAAAATAAAATCGAGGGATATTATACATTTAATTATATTTAAATATAGTCCATATTCTAGTATATAAATGTTTGTGTTCTTTGGAATTTGAGTTTGATTTAAATGTGATCACATTAAATATATTTTTATCATAAAATATCATACTAAAATACTAATTTTTTACTATTTCTAAATTTCAAAATTCCGAAAATCTTCAAACATCTATGTCTAAATGAGTCTAAAATTTAAAAAAATTGTAACACTAAAAAAATCAGCACAACTTATTTTAAATATAATCCATAAAATATATGAATTTTATTCATATATATATATATTGTACAAAATTGATTTATCCGAATAATATGTTGACTTATATAAAATATTAAAATATAAATGCTTATAAATTGATATCTTTTGAACTAATTATATTACTTGGGTTTACATAAGAAATTTGCTGAATTACATAATAAATAAATATGAATGCTCGCATAAGTTGAAAATTCTTTATATGAAAAATCTTATATATTTGAACCAATAAAGTAATATTATTAACATTAATTAAAATGATTTAAGATTAGGCTTTTAAGTGAAATGATTTTATATAAATATTATTTTCTCATGATTTCACCGTCACAAATTCAGCTCCACACTGCTAGACCATTAAGACCTATTTTACAAGACAATATATATATATCATAATTATTCTCATGACAAAGTTTGTTTGTTATAATTTACAATTAATTTAAAATAAATTGCTAGATTTGAGAAAATATATATTTTTACTAACTTGAATTTATATATAAATATTTTTTAAAAAATTATATTTCACCAATTTATTTTTACATTATTACAGCAATAACAAATATAGATAGTAACACATAAATTTAATACATAAGGAGACTTCATGTGGAGTTTGTTTAATTTTTATTATTAAAATTTTGATTTAAATAATATTTTAATATTATATTTTATAAAAAATATATTGAATATTATGATTGTTGTATATATTAAAAAATGCAAAACGAACATAAATGTATTTTTTCCCCATAGTCTTCAATTATTATCAAGACATTGAATTCTATTTATTTATAAACTAACCTAACACACACCAATTTCAATAAATGTGTATAATTTTCAAAGTCAATTTACTTTCAACACATGCATTCAATGCTAATCTATTTATTTTATTTTATTTTATTTGAATCGAACTTCTCAATATAATTATTTAAATTATTATAAAATATATATATAATGGTATGGGCATTATGTATAAATATCACACTAGAAAGATCTTTAAAAAAATAAGAATAATGGATTAAATATGGACAATTAACAAGACATAAGACCCGATCCAATGGTTGATTTGGATTTGAACCCGGCCCGATTACGTTATATCCAATTTCTATTTCACCAGATTCGAATAGAAAATAAATATATATATTATTTTTTTCAATGCTACTTTATTTATATATATTAAGATTTTTTATTAGACTTGATCCATTACTGTGAATAATTGCGTCGAACTTCAGTTAAATGGGTCAAGTAATGAGCCAATATCTGGTTTATTCGGATCTATTTTATTTCTAGTTAAAAAAAAAAAAAAAAAAAACAATTCGGGCTTACGTTGTTGGGTCGGGTCCAGTTAGTTTAGCCCAACAGGCCCAATTCAGAAATACATTTGTCACTTTAGATGAAACATTCTTTTTGGGCCTAATATTTGTAAAGCCCAATAAAATATATATATAAATATACGGAATATTTATATAATACTTTGCCTCTGTCCTTGTGCAAGTAAAATTGGTGGACAATCTTGACGTTGACTGTGATAGTTTGAAATATAATATACTTCATTCGTTCCAAAACTAAATATTCATTAGTTTTTTACACGTAATTTTAAAAATATTAGTATTATATTATGATATAGTAGAAATAAAGTAGAAATGACTAAAATAACCTTATCAGTACGTATGATATAAAGGTAATGACATTTGTGTAATATATTTTAAATTGTAAGGATATTTGTAATATTAAGTAGATAGTATAGTTACTAAAAAAACTAAATGAATATTTTGTTATAAAACAGACTAAAATGAAAAAATAGATACTTTGTTATGGGACGGAGAGAATATATATTTTTATTTTTTATTTTTTTAAATATGTGTACAAAACACACCGATTCTACTGTGAGATTTAAAAACATGACAATATTTTGAATTAAATTTCTTGCAAATTACAATAAAATGCAACATATATTTTGAAATCATCAATTTATAAATTCTTCCACACGACTATTATAATATCAAAACGTAATAGAAATTTTAAAAAAGAATTATATAAATAATTTCATTAGTGTTTATAATACTAATAAATTGATATTTGTATAAACATTATACAAATATAAAAATATTTTTAATATTAAATATAATGACACAAAAGATAAATATGATCTTAGAGACGGACAGATGAAATATATTTTAACTACGGTTTTATTTGTGGGTGTTACTATTATTTCATTTTGAGTATTTAATTATTTCAAAATAATTTTTAAAAAAATACAAATTATAAGTTTCTTATAAGTAAAATAAAATAGCTTAATAAGGAGACCAGCTAACAAGAGCATCTTTGAAAGTTTAGTCAAGTTAGCATCACCATATTCTGAAATTGGATAACACCAAAATTATATAAATAATAATGATATCTCACCGTATTGGTGAAGATTTAAAGATAGTCTTTATTATGCGAAGTGATTTGAATGAATAAATTTATATATAAAGTATAGAAAATTAGATAAATAATACTTCCTCCACCTCGATACAATAATTTTGTTTATATTTTTATCTGTTTCAAAATAATAGTTTTATTTTCATAAATAACTATATCACCATAAACTAACCCTATTTTTTCATTTTTATTACACAATTGTCACTATTTTTTACACTAATTCACTAACAAGGGCAAAAAAATATTTTACTTATACTTTTTCCAATTACTAATATAATATCAATATTCCTTAAATCTCGTGCTCAATACAATAAAAATTATAGTTTTGAGAAAGAGGAAGTATAAAAATAATATGTGTATAAGGGTATTAATTTAAATTTTTATTTAATTAATAATTTGATATAATATTTTTTAAAAAATGTACATCTCTATTAAATACTCTCTCCGTCCAATTTTTATTGTTTTAAAGTATATTTGTACGATTTTTTAGATAATTGTCTTTTTGTTATGAATTGACAAATTTGCCCTTAATTGTATTGTATATATGAAAAATAATAAATGAATAAATGGTAAAAATATAAAATTGGTATTTAAAAAAGAAAATAGAATAATAGTTGTTGGACGTTCAAAATAGAAAAATAGGACATTAATTTGTGTACGAGAAAGTAATAAATATTAATTTTAATTTTAATTTAAAATCAAATAATAAAAAAAAAACTCTAAATTAGACCACAGTTAATTAGATAAAGACGATGACGTGTAAAGAAAAAATACATTAAAAAAACAATTTGTTATAAATAAACTAAAAATAAATAAATATATGAAAATTCACATATGGTTCTGTCATACAAATAATTTTATAAATGTTGTTATTATTTATTTATAGTTAAATTTTAAAATATTATAGTATAAAATATTGCTTTATATATATTTTTTAGTATGAACATTAAAAAAAACTATTTTAGAAATTTAAAAATTAATTACATAAAAGAGTTAAAAAAACTTTTGTTAGTACTATTGTATTTATCAATAATAATATTTTTCAATAAATATATATAAAAAAAATAGAGGCATAAAACATAACTTTAATTCGTTCATAACAAACTATTTACAACATCACAAAAATAGAAAAACAAAAAAGAAAGAGACCGAAATTACGACGTGGCCGCCGTCCGCGGCGGCGCAGCGTCGCAATCATCCGGAAACTTCCTACAGAAACGTGATGTCACAAGTCGTCGGAGATCGAATCAATCAGTTCCTGCAGGTCGCCGTCGAGGCGGAGCGTCTCCAGCACGCGCTCAAAAATGATGACGTGGCAGGGAATCCTGAGAACACCTTTCTGTTCGTAACCGTATTCCTGCGCAGATTTGTTCAGAAGCTTCACGAAGATCGGGTGGTTCAGCAGCTCCGCGCTCACCACAAATCTCTCCATCTCCTCCCCTACATACACCGGAAAATGTCCCCATGGCACTCCGCCGGCGGCGGCGCCGCATCTCTTCCGGAATGATTCCGACCGCCGCGGCGCCGCACCAACAGAATCCGACCGTAGCAGACAGTATTGCGACGAATCAGTCACTTTTGAGAGCTTCCTCATCAGTTTCTTCATCTCAGAATTTAGAGAGAGAGAAAATTGTAGAGAGAGAAAGAGAGAGTTATCTGCGAGTGATTGAGTGTGTGTGTGCGAATCTATATATTATATGCAGGTACGGTGCGGAAGCGTACTTGGAGGTACAATTGCTGGGGTGTGGCATTGAACAACGGCGGGGCCGGGAGTTTGAGTCCTGAATTAATCTGCACCGTTCATCTTAGGAATGGTCTCGGCGATCCGGACAGTAGTAGTAAGTGGACTCCGGAGTGGCTGTGTTGCAGGGTGAATGATGAGAGAATTAATTAAAATTTAAATATTATTATGCAATTATTTATTATTAATATTAATTAATGAAGGGTGGCCTTTCTGGGTGTCACGAGACACCAATTGTAGCCGGTAGGGACGGCGTCTAGTCATTCCCCAGCACGTATCCAGCAACTAATTATTTTGTCTTAAATTATTTTAATAATTTATTACTCTCTTAGTCCCGTTTTATTTATTATTTTTAAAATTTTAATTATATTATTCAATTATTTTAATCATAATTTATAATAAATATTATAATATACTAATTATTTTTAATAATATATTTATTATTTATATTTTATTTAAATTATTATATTACAGTAAATCAGACAAAAAAAAAAAAAATATTACTCTTTTCGTTTCAAAATTATAGTTTTAATTGGGTTGAACACATAATAAAGAATATTAATATTATATTTGTAGTTGATAAAAAAATACATATAAATGACTTTTTGTCTTTGTGAGTATATTAGTGTAAAAAGTAATAGCAATTGTGTAATAAAAATGAAGAAGTATGAATAGTTTTATAATGATATATAATTATTCATAAAAATAAAATTATTATTTTAAGACGGACAAAAATGATAAATAAAACTATTGTAATGATACGAAAAAAAGTATAGGATAATAAAAGAAATGCTAATTTAACATGGAGTGACATCATTACATTAGCCGAAACTATAGTGCAAGGGGCACGTGAACCCCTCGACTCCAATTAAACTACAAATTTACAATTAAGACGATATCGTTCTTCTTCTTTAATAATTCCTTATTATACAAGCGTCTTCGTTTTTCCACCCAAACAAATTTTATATTCAATATCATTTTTATATAAATATAATATTTTTTTTATTATTTTATTTTAATTTAGTCTCGAATCCACTAGTTTATATATTTTTGTAATAATACGATTTTATAATTTTCCTTCAAATTTTAACATATGTTATCTATTACATACGAAGTTTTAATATTCTTTTGTCTATCATAATTATATTACTTTTTTTTTTTTATGTTATTGGTTAAATTTATACAAAATTTATTCATATTAACAATTTTTATTCAAATATGATTTTATTACTTATACTTTAATAAATAATAATAAAATTTTTATTATTTTTTCTACTTACCAAATCACTATTTATCAATTATTTAATTGATTCTTTACAATACTCACTTTATTTTTTATCTTTTTATCATAATATTCTTTAGTTATATCACTTTTTTTTTATTGGATTGTAGTTTAAAATATATTTACTTTATTTTTTAATTTTCCTTAAAAAATATATATATATTTTTTTTGAAAAAAACTATATTCACTATAAACGACAAAAAATAACAATTAATATCTTTTTATTATTATTATCAAAATTCAGGTTCAACTATTTAAACACACAAATAGATTAAGGAGAAATTATACTTTATACACTCACAAAATAAAATAATTTAATATAAAATATTGATTTTTATGTTATCAATACAATTTGTCGTGACTAATATAAAAGATACAAAGTGAACTAACTATTCATCACAACCATAAAAATATGTATATATAAATATATATGTACTCTATTTATCTATAAAAATTAAATTACTCTTTTTTTCATATCAGCTAATTTGTCCACTTTAGTTGATACACAGAAATTTTAGCCATTATATGATTAATAAATAATTAAAAAATATTTTAAGAAAAAATAATTATAAATTAAGATTAAAATAAATAAATAGTTTAATTAAAATTATAAATTTTAAAATTTTATTAATGTGTATAATTATATTAACGAAAAAAAATGCAAATTATATGAGATAAATCAAAAGTAAAAAAAAAAAAAAATTATATGAAGCGAGAAAAATACTACTAATATTTTTTAAATTACTAAAAAATTCTGAAATAGAAACATGAATGTGAGAATATAAATTGTAAGCAGCTGGCAAATTTGTGTCTTAATCTTTATGGTGGGGTCTACGCTAGTCTGACAAATAACTAGTGCCGTAATTCACTGCCCTATGTTCACATTCAAATATGCCTACCCCTTGACCAACATTCCTCCCTTTATACACAAGCTCCAGGGATCTCTGTTCCTCATCCACTCTAAATTTCTTGCGGGACTGCAAGTCCAAGGATCTTCTCCCAAAATAGATGCTGCAGCCGTGATTGGCGATTGCGTCAGTCTTGCCCTTTATTCTGTGTGGCTGCCTGCCGTTACCGTCGGTTACAGTACTATTTGACGCCGTCATGTCTCGTAAATTGATGATTGGTTTAATTATAATACTCCCCCCATTTTAAATCAAATCAAATCAAATAAAAAATAAAAAATAAAAATCAAATACTCCTTCCGCCCCCTAAACTATTGATATTATATTGATAATAGTTAAATAGTACATGTAAAAGACTTTTTTATCATTGTAAATGTATTAGTGTAAAAAGTAGTGATAATTGTGTAATAATAATGAAAAAATAAGGATAGTTTTACAGTGATATGATTATTCATAGAAATAACCCTATTGTTTAGAGACGGACAAAAATGGTAAACAGAACTATTATATTGGGACAGAGAGAGTAATTTGTAATACGCCTTTAGATTTTGTAATAAATTAAAAAATAATACTCATTTCATTTCACTTAATTTGTAGGCTATTACTATTTTCGTTCGTCTCACATAATTTATTTTTTTCTTTTTCCGAAAATTCAATTATACACTTTAATCATATTTTAAAAATTATAACTTATAATTTTTTATTTTAATTAAACTATTTAATCATATTAATATTAATAATATGACTAATATTATTTGTAATGTTAAAATATAAATTAAATGTGTATTTTAAATTAAATTTGACTATATATTTAAATATTTTAAAAATTATATCATAGTAAGTTATATAATATGAATATTATTTTATATAATAAAAATAAATACAAATTTATATTTATTTATGTTTAATATATATTAATTTTATTAAAAATATAAAATTTTAAATATATATACATATAGATATTGGTTTTTTTTTTTTTTATCACATATAGTCTTAAATTAAATTTTTACTTCAATATGATTTATTATCGTGTTATAATTTCAAATATATTTGAAATGTATTTAATTATGTCTTAAATAAATCAAAGGCATTTCACAAATGGACTATTATCCAAAAATTTTAAAATTTATGTTTAGCTTAGATAATTGTTTTTTGTGTTTTAAAAGTTTTGCTACTTAATATGAAATTTTATAGAAAAATATATATATGTATTTAATTTTATTTCTTAAAAAAATTGTTATTACTAATTAATCATGTAAAGTTAAAACAAATTTTATGTTAATAAGGCCATAAGGGACTTAATCATTTCAAAATATATTTACAAACAAAGCCAAATAATTGAGTGATAGTTGGGCGGCACCTAGTCCATTCCGTACGGCATGTACGAACATATTCACCACCAACCGTCCCTACACTAACGTATTAATAATATATTCATTTACAAATTAAATACTTCCTCCGTCGACAAAAAAAGTATACAATTACTTTTGGCGCAGTGGATAGTTAAAAGTAGTGTAATGATATTTTTGCCCTTACTTTTTGGTGTAAAAGTAATGATGTAATGTAAAGTAAGGATATTTGTGGAAAAAAGTAAGGTATTTAATGAAATATTTACTTTGTAATTGGACGTCCCAAAATAGAAACATGTATACTTTCTAACTGGACGGAGGGAGCATTTATTATTATTTTTTTTTATAAGAATTATGAATTATTACTATATTTTAATAAACCTTGATGATTTTGGTATATATAATTTTTTTATTTTTGAATTCTTATGATTTGTAAAATTAATATAATGATATTATATAAATAAATATATATACAAAAAATATTTATAATGCGAGATAAAATTGATGTATGCTAACAAGTAAAATTGATATTTTGTATTTTTAAATGGCAAAATATATATGACCAAGTAGATCTAGAAGTATATTTATTTATTTTTTTCAATTATATTTATATATCATTTTTTTTTAAAAAAAAATAGTAATTCATTGTTCATAAAAATTTTATTTTTATTTATTTATTTTTTTATTTTATTATTATTTGAAATTGATTTGAATTGGAATATAATTTGAATTTTTGTTTAAATAATATTTTTTTAGCAAGTAAACAGCGGAAAAAAAAAAAACAAACTTTTAATTTCATACTTATTTTTAATTTTAGATTATATTAAAAAGTAATTTATATTCAAAATATTATATTTTATATTTATTTGTATCAATCAAACAATTATTCTAATTTAAACCTAACTATAATTTATGAATACTACAAATCTGATAAAAACAATAAACGAGCAAACACATATTAAGGATATGTTTGGTTGTAGATTATAATTAATTTGAAATAAATTTTTTATTTCAGTTTTAATTTAATAATATTTAAATATAATATTTTATGAAATAAAAAATAATACTTTATACGTCTCGCGTTAGCATACACGATTATTCTTAGCTCTTTAAAAAATAATAATACTTAATAATTAGAAATAGCATAAATATAATATTGTTTTTACTTTGTAATGTAAAAGAAATAATATAATGATAAATATGTAATAGATTGATGTTCATTTTTTTGATATACTTTGTAATGTAAAAGAAATAATTATAATATTTTTTTAAAAAATTATACTTCCTCCCTCCCACATAATTTGTTTCTATTTTATATTTTCGTCTGTCCCACCTAATTTGTCCTTTCATTTTTTAGAAAATTAATTATACATTTTAATCATATTTTAAAATTTAAAATTTAATTTTTTTTAATCTTAATTAAACTATTTAGTTATTTTAATATTAATTTATAATTATTTTTACTAAATAATAATTATTTTTACTAGTACATTTCTTAATTACTTATTAATTATTATTTATCTAAATTCTCGTGTCTACAATAATACCGCCCATATTATATAGGACGGACGGAGTAATAAATTGATGTTCATTTTTTGAACTATTTATGCCGACATTTTTGCATTCCGATTGAAAATTGCATCTTGCCAACTTGCCAAATATGTGCACACATTTTGACTGATTGACTAATATTGAAAAATCAGTAAGTATTTGTGGCGAGCTTGAATTTTAA